CGACCATAGAACTTACGAAATGACGACTTGAAACAAGACTGCTGATATTCTTGTTTCGTGAACTTGCTTGTCAATAATTTTTCTCGTTTTTGAAATTGTTCTTAAGAAGAGCATGCTCTTGCGTATCGAATCAACTGAGATATATACACTCCGTATGCAGGTGGCGAAGGTATATTGCTTCGTAAGTAAGGGAAGTTGACGACAGAAAAGTTAAAGTCATCACGTTTATTATATAGCTTTGTTGTTAGATTACCATTAACGTCTTTTTCAGGTAAAATATCCAAATATGAAACAAATGTGTCAGACTCTGGTATATTTAATCTCAAGCTCATCAGGATATATCGTATCGATGGAAATTGCAATTGTAAATTGACAATATTTAAATGTCGAGTTGAAGGCCACAGCAAGTGTTTCATCGTTTCACGCATAAAAACAAATTTTGCATCATATGAATATAAAAATAGGTCTGCCAATAACCAATCACAATTGGTACCCATATGGGATTCCCAATAGATTTTTGAAAAATTTTATATATTTTTTTTTTGGTAAAATGAAAAAATTCCGCGCTGACACAAAAAAGCCCTTACTACTTAATGATCCTGAGTGCAGAATAAAGGTCTTAAATTGAGGTCCGTTTTGTGACGCCTCTATAAGACTATATGTTTTCAAACAGGATAAAAACAACATGCAATCAATTAATCATTTGTAGAGATTGCGTTATTCTACATTCATTTATGAAGAAGGTCATTTTAATTTTACTTCACAGCTTTAGATATTATATATAACATAGTTCATCTCAATGTATGCAAAAGTTATTACCCTCTGATGTTGTATTATGCTTTGTTCTTTGTTTCTTTTTAGTAAATTTGGGCTATTTATTGTGCGCTATTTATAGTTGCCCTTTTCAGTATGTTTTTTTTTTAAATATTATTGTTCTAGTTATAGTCATAAAAATGGATTAAGGTGAAAAGAGAAAAATTAAAACGATAATGATTAGCTGTTTGCTATATTAAAACGTGTAAAAACTCTAGAATAAACATTATCAAAGATAAAAGAACACTTAAAAATAACAGGGATTTCCCAAGGCACACAATACCTTGTAGCATTCAATGACAAACGATCAAAAAATTAGATACTATTTTATTTGGCTGAATGGGCCACGGGCCCCTTAAATGAGGGGGCCAAGGATCAATATACTGCCTTGTTATTGCATCCTTAAAAATGCAAATAGGACCCTGGGAACATATGGTCACCTTTGGTGACTAATTAAAATACACTCAAAATATTGAATGAAATGACAATAAGTTCCGAAAGCCTACTGGTGAGCTGGTCAAGTCCCTTGATTGTTGGTAAAGGCTGAACAAAAGGGCGACCGTGACGAAGTCTTCTTCTATAAATTTGAAGTCAGCTACACACAAACGCTCTGAAAAAATTAAATACGAACACGGCAGAAAAACAATTCAAAAAAAATGCTAATGAAACCATGGATTATTTACACTTAGTTAGAAAAATAAGCACACACTTGCATTTTGCCTATCTAAATCATTCAAACATTACTTGACCGAGATAGGGAGGATAGGTGAAAGTTTCAACGTCGACTGATGACACAATGCGGTGTGACGTCAAATGTTCTATTAAGGTAAATACTTACTACACAGGGAAACAGTGGAATAATACTATACGGGTTGGCTTACATACACTATCGGCCGAACCCGATCAAAATAAAAAAAAAGGGATATGTATTTCCCTTTGATAAATGGCTTTAACTTTGATTGATTAAATCCCATTAAAATACTACTTATTGTGTTTTAAATGGATGTTACTTGACAAAAAAAAAAGAAGTACAAGACTTGAATCGTGCTACTTTGAAATAATTGTAATCATTACTTGTAAAACAAAAGTGTGTCAAAATAAAATTTAAAAAAATATCAGATTTATTTAAACTTTCTTTTTTTTATTCTAAATTTATATAATACATGTACTAGTTCCTTCTATACAATAGGAAATCATTTTCTGATTAAATGCCACCGGTACTTTATAACAAAATAGTTATATGCGTATGAATGATATTCCAGGAGTAAAGAGAAGATTTGCAAAAAATAAATCATTTTCAATATAGATTCAAAAAAGCTCCAACCAAGCCAAAGTCCATAGTTATCCATGTTGAGAACTTTCAAATTGCAAAGACATATCCTCTATAGATCTTAGCATTAACATTTATTTACTCATAATGTTTTTTTTTAAATAATAAAAAAAAAGAAAAATATTTTTTAAAGTAGGTCTATGTTGATATTTTTTTTCTTCAAAAGAGACCAAACATTTCCCTCTAAAATGCATGAAAAGGGATTTGAATTTCAAACTTCAAAAGGATCCATATCCTATAACAGCCAATCTGTTATCTTTTTTTTTTAATTCATGTATTTAGGGGTGGCAAAAATAGATATTAAGATTGTAAATTAGGTTATCATTTGCTTCATATAACGAAATCCTTAGTTTGGGCCATAAATATGATAATTATTAAAGTCCGAATTTCCTTTGTCATATTTATATTTTTCCCCATTTTTAATCGAATATTACAAAAATCTGATTGATAAGAACTCTATACTTTTTAGATACTTTTTAGGCTCAGATTACTTTTGTTGCCCTAATTCTCATTAACAATATTTTATGAGGTCAATGATCAAATTATTGAGATATTCTGTCTGAAAGGTTTTTGTACATATTTTTGAATTTCTTTATTTCACAGGATTCAATTATTTAAAATCATTTATGAGCTTTAACACATATAAGATTTGCAAAATTATGTTTAAAAATTCATGTAACTTTTACTTTGTGATTAATATTGCAAAAAGTAAATATTTTTGACAAAAATGAAGAAATGAAAAATTTAGTCCGAATGTCCTCTGCAATACCATACATTGACATTTGTTCCTGTATATTTTCTTTAAATGATAAAATATTAAATTTTAAAAATATTTTTGATTTACGAGGGTTGATCCAAAAGTAATGTCACAACTTCGATAAAATTTCTACTAGTCGACGTAAATTAACGTTATTATACGTGATCGAAGCTATATTTATTACAAATCAGTCCTGAAAAAATCAAATAAAAATTATTTATACTTTTTAAAATATCGAATTATATACAAAGTGCAGTTATGGTAGTCGCCGCACCTAAATAACGTTATATGATGGATGAAAGCCGTCATACACTTTTGAAAACGCTACCCCTTAGTTTCATTAAATTTTTTTGAGATTCACGAACACATTCACTTATATTTCTCTTTTTAAAAGAATTATTGGCACCCATTGTACACTTTCTCTATATAAAATTTAGTTCTCTCTCAAAATTCTTTGAACAGTACTAAAAGACAAACTTTAAAAGTTACTCATATCGCTCTAACCGTCTCTCATTTTGGACAACGTCAGACACCATTGAACGTTTCAGTCCGACCTCCCTTTTTCGGTCTTCCTGTCCTCTGCTACTAACTCAATGACCCATGACCCGTTTAAAAATTACTGAAACCATCTATAATCAAGTCTCTTACTTACAATCTCTCCGCTATGTGTCTGATTAGTCATCTTAACTGTTTCTGCGGGCGATGTCTCCATTTTGAAGCAAACGCGAAAAACGCATTGCAGATCGTTTTAGCGGTATTTCTCCATTTCCTTTGTTCAATACCGATGATTAAAACAACAATGTTGATGATCAAAAAGCAATAATGTCATTTTATTATAAATTTAAGTCTAGCACATGTCGTAAAGATTTGTCGTTTAAAATATTGGGCTATTAAACGCTTTATAAGATGCTTTTTAATGTGTTTGTCTTTTTTATTTTAGCGATTTACATTCTAAAATTCGACGTTTAGTTGTGACGCGGCGACACCCCCTATGTTTGATATTTTAAACGTCTATAAAATTAATTTAAGTAAACATTATTAAATGAAACTTTCAATTTTGATTAGATTTATTTTTATGCATCTTTTGGTATATTATATTTGACAATATGACGCCAAATAGTAAATATATTGACACAGTGACATTATTTTTGGATCAACCCTCGTAAAACTTGCTTTTTTTATCCATTTAGAACAATTTTTGATTTCACATGTTATATTTTAAAAAAATTTTCCCTTTTTTTTTTCTGAAACCTGAGTTAACATTATCCTTAAGCAGAAAATATTTATATATATATATATGTATATAGTCAAGAGGAGTCCTATCTGTCAAATAACATTTTATTTAGTTTTTTGTCAAAAACCCCAAAAAAAAAAAAAAATCATGAAATTTCGAAGAAAGGGTGTTTTTCATTTTTCTATTCGATAGAGCCCCCACCCCCACCCCCAACAGAATCCCTGTGAATAAAACATATGTTTGAGTAAAAATATTTTGAAATATTGGAAGAATTAAATTACCAATATTTTATGTTGCCATGGTGTCAATTTTTTTTTCGCTTTCTCTATGGTTTAATTTTGCTATGTTGAGAAACTGTACTCTCACATTTGAACTTAATCTTTTATTATCGCTGCACTCACTGTAAAAAAATCTTTAAACGCTCACTTCCTGTATGAAATTCAATATATGATATATCATATTAAAATCAACCGATGGTCTGAATATGGGCCATTTATATTTGTAGGGCTAATCAAATTTTTATGTCTTTTCTTTATGTAATAACATGTTAATCACATTGTAGGAAATAATATATTTAAACAAAAGGGGTATCAAAAAGATTTGACGTCAACCGAAAAGGATGAACTAAATTAAATTTAATTCTGTAAAGATACAAAATTTAATATGACTTAAAAGTTGATAAATAAAAAATCTCACATTTGATGAAAATATCTTTCCTGTCTAGTTTTACGCTCACTTTTTCACGAGTTGTCAAGGAAATCGTTTGTTTCCAAGCACCATTTCCCAGATGAAACATTAACAACGGAACTGCGGGATTACATGTAAAAGTTCAAAGTGTCAAGTATATTTCGTTTAATATCAGATGATATGACATCACAAAAAACTGTGGATCATTAATCAGATAGTTACATAAATATGGTGGCTTGTGGACAGATTTTGATTATATTGGTACAAATATCAATCAATGTCCTTCTTTCTTGTGGTTCTGAAATTCCATTATGTGAAAAGTGAGTTTCTATTTATTTCACATTTCAATTTGTTCTAAAATAAATTCAGCGAAATATTGCTGAAATATTGCTGACTCGGTGTTAAACAAAAAAATGATAATCAACCAATCTAACATAAACCTTTTTATCAATAACGGAGCGGAAATATGTTTAAATATTTTACTGGTGCAGCTATTAAAAATATATACACTTAACTTAGATGTGTCCATGTATACTATTTCTGCATTTACATGTATATGTATTTTAATTTTTTCCCATCAAGAATTTTGGCAGATTCTTATTTATACTGATTGAATTTCCAAGACATATTCCAAAGGCAAAAATGATTTTATTTTCAGAATTTCTTGGTTTTCATTGCCTTTACTGGCAATTACCATGTGGTTTACATGCATTTTTTATTTAGCAGTTTATTAGCTATTTTTTGGTGTATTAATATGTGCTTACTTAAAATGAACATATTTTAGGTTAACTCATTTAAAATCTATGATTGAAATACAATTGTTTTCTTTAATGTTAAAAGGCACTGATATAAAATGCATATATTTTAATAATCACTTTTTAGCACTAGGAAATTATCAAAGTCCTTACAATGCATTGATGGGAAAAGGAAATTAATTTATTTCTCTGGAATCAAAATAACACTAAAAGATAAAGTAATGGTATAAACTATGCTTAATACTAGCAAGTTATGTATATTAATCATCATAGGCTCATTTCATTTTCTTTCCTTAACACAAATTCAAATGTGTCAAAGGGTTTGTGTTAATTTTTGCTTGCTTTCCTCCTTTGTTTTTTGTTGTTTTTTATGATTTTTTTTTTTTTTCAAATTTAAATAAAATATACAAGAGTTGCCCCATTAAGTTGTAGACAATGATTATAACTTTTAAACATGCGAACAATACTAACCAAAATTTGCATAGACCTAACATATTCAATGTTCTTTGAAATCGTGCATTCTTTTTATATATATTTAATATTAATAGTATTGAGACGATTGGCATGAAGGTCGATATAGTTTGTAAGCACATGAACAAAATCCAAAATAATTTACCCAAATCAGTATTACATTTGCTTTTATTTCTTTTGTAATATGTCAAATTTTCATATAAATATCATTAGCAACAGACAATTGGTGTAATATTTTTCAAAGTGTTACTGAAATCGGGTTTGATGAAAATGACGTCGAAAATCGTGTAACCGACACAAGGAGATGCAATTAATATTTTATGGATATGATTTATCTACATCAGAGACGGGAAAAAAAGAGTACATAAGTGACATTCCACACTAGATTCTAATAGAGAAGTTGTTTAAAAATGGTATGAGAATCAATGACAGGTTTTCCTCTATACCAAAAATAGTTACATCATGTAGGAAGTAAAGCACGGTTTGTTTAATGCACGCAGAGGGGAGCGTTCTAGACCACGAACGACGTCAAAATATGTGTATTCTCTGGCGGGTACGATGTAAGTTGATATTTTGGATAAATTTCCACTGAAATTTGAATCTGCTAAAAAAACGGAAAATGACAAACAGTTCTCCATTAAAATAAGTCCCTTAGTGAAGAACGGATTTGAAACTTGATTTTTTCCCTATATTAAGAGACCCGTATAAAGCGGAAAAAGAGATCATAACGATACAGGAGACGTACCTGTATATAACGCTTGCTTTCGTGCGCTGATGTACACCTGCACACTTTCTTTATTTTTTTTTCATGACTTTCTGATTAATGTGATATCATGAAACTTGGAAAGCATGATAAAAAAAAGTTGCCTTTAAATATGACAAAAAAGGAATTTTATTGACCAGAGAATCTTAACTGTTTTATCTGTCTACAACTTTTTGGTAAGCTTCATATATTTGTTAGTATTTCTTATACAAATCAGTGTATTGCTTACTTTAAAAAAAATATTTCACTTAAGAGTATGTGTTACAGGGGATACAAATCATGCTGTGCATATTACAAGTGGAATACAGAAACTCAACAATGCGAAAGTAAGTAAAAAAATATTTAGGAATCTTACAAATTTCTTTTAGAAAGATATCTATATATTTATATACACTCTTGTACTTGTATCTTTTCTTATGTTTTAGGCAAATAAATAAAACATAAATATATCAATAGAATATAATGTATCAGTTGTAAATCGCTTTGAAGTTGGTGGAATAAGCATTTTTATTGGGTTTTTTGTCAATAAGCTATTGCCCGCCCCCCCCCCTCGTGTCACACAAAAACTTTGGTATGAATTCCAAATTGCCTGTAAAAAGGAATTTTTTTGACACTAGGGGGGGGTATTAACAATATTTTCCGTTTTCCGTTGATTTCTATAGTGAAAAAATAAAAGTATTATCAAATATAAGCGTTATCTCTCTTTGTTTCCCCAAATAGGTAATGTTTTATGAAAATCCATATAATAATCTGTAAAAAATATTAAAATATCGAATATGTTATCTTTTGAAAATTGACTTGGAGGTAGGCGGGAGAACAATACCATCGTTCGCAGTTCTTTACATACATGCGTATAGTTACAAACTATCAAAACCCAAATCAACCTATGATACATGCATCAAACCATTGGCCGTAATACACTTGTAGACTGGTCATTCGTTGAGAATGCTCTCTCTATATAAAATTGTATCAAATCAATTTCGAGACCCAACCACATACATGTATATGCCCGTAATGATGGTAATACAAAGAAATTCTTATCATTTCTAAAACATTATTTGTTGATTGATAGTTGATAGCGACCCCAATGACAATGTTATTACTCTACCCTCCACCACAACTGAAAATGCTTCCTCTGGTCCTGAAACCCATACTGAGGTTCATGCATACGTTTTTTTTTATCGGAAAAGATGATATAAAATAAAATGTCATTTTAAACCAGAAACATGCTGTAGATGTCAATTAGATCCTAGCATACTAAAAACAATCGTCAGAAAATACATAATCATTTCATTACATTCCTCCAGCAAAGGAGAAAGCGTGAAATCCTTCTTTGATCTTTTCATGGAGATAACACTTTGCCTTGAAGTTTTTCATATTTTTTCCTGCATTATTTAAAAAAAATCATAATAAAATTACTTTCATTTTTTATCGATGTAGTATTTTTACAGAATGTTTAGCCGGATATAGTGGAGATAATTGTAGTCTACCGTGTCCATATCCTTTTTATGGAGATAGGTGTCAAGGGAAATGTGACTGTGAAAAATATTCATGCAATGTTTCCTTTGGTTGTTTGGTACAAACGCCTTGTAAGTACAATAATTTCATTTTAATAGAAACGTAGAGGAAACTCAGGAAATTTTACCTTTCGGTTGTTTAAGTGTTGGTTGAAACTACAGGGACTGCATGTAAATGAGTTATATACATCACGTTTCTAAACGCATTAAAATTTCTAATAATTATGTATAATAGGTAAGTTACGTACATACCTAAGTCTTTCTCGAATAACAAAAAATTACACTGTTCAAATAAAGACATGTAATATGAATCTTTCTGTATTAATAATCTGCCAAACAGCTATGCCATGAAAAGGACAAGTACTCATGAACGACTTTTAAATTATTTACAACTTCAACTAACAGGGGATATAAAAACACATATTAATTACATGTATCTGTATTGCATAAATTATAAGAAGCACAGTTGAAACACAGGAAAAAAAATTAAAGAAATATGCGCTTATTTTGACGATAAACAATTTGATTCCTAATTTTTGGTAATTGAAAAATCAACTTCAATTAAAGTCGAAGATTTAAAAATCTAAAGCATTTTATTATAACAGGAAAGTGTTTCCTTGTTTGTTAGTTATTTTTTTTCTGTTTGTTTATTGAGTAATATAACATTTAATAAACTACAAAAATTGTTTGACCGGTTCTGAATAAGAAACCGAGTTTGCTGTGCTTTAAATATACAAGGCATTATTTCAAAATTTAAGTTTTTGTCAAGGTACATAATTTACAATTATAGACTGTTTAGAAGGTGATGTCTCCCGTCTAAACAGACCATGGTAGTTTTATTATCCTAAATTATCGATTCAATAGAGTAGAAAATATTAGTCAAACCTCTTGTGTCCCCCTATTCTGCTCTGATTCTTTTCTTCCAAAATAAGTCAACAGACAACTTTGACGTCATCGTTAGAATTAATTGTTTACAGTTCCCGCATATTAAGCAGTTGTACTTTTATATTGATTAATAAGAGTTGTCTCGCTTCAACCACTGTAATTTCATTCAAAGGGCGACAAGACGGTTGTAACTGTGCATGCTGGCTTACAAGTAAGCTCTTTCTTTGTCATCTGAGGGGTGACAACAGTTGTCACCCTGCGCGTGAGGGAGACATCATAAAAGTTCACCCACCCACACACCCAAAAATATATTTTGCAAGTTTTCATATGTACTCATTTTATTACATGTAGTTATGAATAAAACGGCCAGTTCCGAATACCCCAGAGGTTTTCATTTAATTTAACCCTAATTAAGTGAAAAAATATACGCCCCACACATTATCCTTTGGCATGCCTAAGAAAAGTTAAATTAATCGCTTACCAATGAGTTATTTGGATGAAGGGCAATAAAGGGAAACAAGAGGTACTGTAAGCACAGTACTCACTTTAATGATATTCCACTTCTCTTAGGTCATTTTTATGACAAAGTCCATGTACTATCTGTGGAAGACCCTAAATAAGCGTCATATCAAAATGTAAAAGAATAGGTCACGATTGCACTTTCTTATAAAGAATCTGTGAAAGGATCACTAAATCTTATTCAGTTGTATGGGAGGAATCACGGATAAGAGATAGATATACCCTTCAATTCTAGAAGGAATGACAGTATCCATGTTTTACTAAGGGAGCAAAAAATATGTGTTAGATCGGAAAAAATAGGAGATGCACTTTGGCACTACTTAAGAAAGATTCTTTCAAAGTCTAATTAAATTCAGTGGTAGAAGAGAAGTCGTGAATAAGAAATGGGTACCCCAAAGCGTATCAGACGGACGGACGTAGAGACAGCTAGACGGACGTACAGACGGATGAATGACAAAATCCCATCACTATATATCCCTTCACTCTGCTTTTCAAGCGGGGGTATAATAAGTCACGTTTACAATGAAGAAAACAGCAAAGAAGGAATTAATTCAAACAAATATCAATAAACCTTTTTACAATAAGTTACAATTTATTTTTACAATTTGAATTTATTACTTATCAGCTCTTGTATTAATAATTGTTCTGGTTCTGAACTGGTCAAAAATCGGAACTGGACAAACGACTGTATTTGCTTCAACTTTGTGCCTTTTGGATACTGAACCTTATAACGGACATCTTCCCAAATAGCGCCATATCTTTCAACACGTCTTCAAGATTTTAAACAATCATACTTTCAATTTTAGCCGAGCTTATTGCTCAAAGAGCAATTGCCGGCTTATGTCATCCTGTTCAAGACAGGAAGTCCACCCCATAGTCGCCATTTTAAAGTTACGTGTAACAATATAGTCTTACTCTCAACTGATTCTGAGATAATACAAACGCTAAAAAAAAGCAAAAATAAAACGAAATTTTTATCTAAATAAAAAACATTAGTAGTTATGACTTTGAAAACTTCAGTTTAAGTCAAAGAACATCTATTAGGTCGTTAGCGTTAGGATTTTTATAATCAGTGTTATCGTAGTTCTTTACACATACGAGGAAAAGCAGGAGAGGGAACCAGACTGACCTGTTTGTTTACATTCAGCTGCGGTACCAGATTAATTCTGATTCTGACAAAATCGGACCGTGTTACATATCTACATGTAATCATTTATATAAATAGTTTTAAAATAGTTGTTTCATCAGAATTTTTTATCTGATATTCTTGTTATTTATCTGTTAATAAATACAATATAAACGTATGATTCATGTAAGAAATTAATTCTACTCTGTAAATGAGCCCGGCTTTCTGTATTTCTGAGTACCTTGATTACCAAATATACCGAGTATTGCTTCAGCCTAAATCATGGTATCTGTATCCATGTACTTTAAAGTGCATCCTAAATCATAACATATTCCTTTTAAGTTCTGATTGTTTTCCAGTAACCCGTTCAGCTATGTATGATGTAATTCTTAAGTAGAATTGCTAAGTAAATATGATGTAAAGTGAATAAATATAATCCGTTTAAACACAAAATGAAAGCTTTCTATGCAAAAGAAATACCAGTTTTTTTCAGGAAAAGGGACATTTAGTAGCCTAAAGTATTTTGTGTGTGTGAGTGTGGGACGGGGTTAATAGTTGGCCTCAATAACGAATTCCAATTTTAAACAAAATTTTTTTAAAATACTAGTAATGTCACTTTAGAGCACTCAGAGATGTGTCAAAATCCAATCAGTCAATTGTCGGAAAAGGAAAAGCAATCTACTTCCCGTTCAATGGTTTTAATATCTAAAATTATTTATGGTATAAATAGTGTCTTTGAGATGCATGAAAAGTCAGTACTCAAAATGTTTTTTTTTTTTATTTATTTTTCTTTGTTCATGTTCAAAAGGAATTCCAATACGTGAATCGTAGGTGTTTTAGTATTCAAAAATTAAATACTGTAAACCGCTCCTTAATGTTTATGTGCCTATTAATAAAACGCCATAATAGGTCTGATAGCGAAAATTAATCGTCACGAACTAGTTTATCCCCGTAATTCGCAAAATAAAGTCGTTGCAGACAAAAATTGGTTTAAAGCGTATTCCATCGCAAATAAATAATAATAAATAGGCTTCAACTCGTATATCATACAAAAGCTGTTACAGAATATATCACTTAAAATAGAATTTTTTTAGAGGCTTTAGAAATACATGTACCTGTGCAGATTTTAAGTGGGATACTGTGAGAAAGTCAGCGATACGAATGTAAATCTACTAAATCTAATTGTCGTTTCTTATAAATATTTCTATAGAAGGATATCTATCTAAAGTTACATACATGTAAAATTTGATGTTTCACACTGATAAAAAGTTAATGTAATGTTTGATTCATCGAACCCAGTAGGAAAAAACCTTAAAATAAGCACATATATATTACATTTTTACATCATCCTCGATTACGGAAACAAATCTTGATATTCAATTAATCTGTCGTTTATAAGTCCATGGTTCATTAAAAATTCTCAACTTATTATATAAATTTAGTCACATTTCTCCAGCCAAAAAGAAATATTAAAGAAAACATATCTTTCTTGATCATGCCATGAATATTTCTTTTAATCTACAGAAGTTTTCAGAATTACTTGGAATTCTTTTTTCTGCAAATGAATTAGGAATATAAACATACTTTAACATAAAGTTTGAAAACATATTTACAGGATGTTCACCAGGGTACAGTAGAGTATAGTCAACTGTAGTCAATCATATCCATATCCTTATTATGGAGATGGATGTCAAGCGAGGTGTGATTGTGAAAAATACCTATGCAATATTTCAGTGGTTGCTGGTTATACACATATAGAATGTGTCATATTTTTTTTCTCCCATTAGAAACAATGTACAAATTTACCTTTCATTTGCAAAAAATTGAGGTTTTCGTGAAAAATTCAATGACCATCCATATAAATGGCAATAAATGACGGTAAATTTTAATTGGCTATAAGCACGTTTGATTCTCTTCTAAAAATAAGCAAACACATGCATATCATGATAACTTAAGAAATATCAAATACACTTTTACATGGTTTATATTAGAATGATAAGAAAATTGCAGTCTTTAGAAAAATAAAAAAAACTTTCAGAAAACAATTAAAATAATTTCAATAAAAACATCTATAAGGAACTAAAGTTCTCGTGACTTAAGCACATTTACTTCACTATTGTGGGTTCATCTATGGGTCAAATTTTTACACGTAACATTTATCGAAGCGTTTCTTAAGCTAATATATCTAATTGATGATGTATTTTAGATTTATTTACATTGAAGTACTGAAGTTAGCAACAACGTGAAAAGCTTTGTTCGTTTACGTTTTGCTTTCTATTTTTGAGCTTTTTACCTGATAACATACAATCTGGGTATACGTTTCACACATGAGTAGAAAATTTTACAACTTAATTCTTTGTTAACAAAAGATGACCTATATTTTTGTGAACCTAGGAGATTTAAATCGTTTTTCTAACCATTCAGAGCACGAAAAGTAACCCAAAAGGCACGCATACGCAAGGTCTATGTTGTTATCTTCCTTGCTACAGTGTATGAAAAACTTAAAGGCGCTTAATCCGAAACAGACACATATTATCTTACACAATAAAAGTACGTCATTACATAAATAACATATAAAAATAAATTATAAGATTGATTTAATAGTTTATTATAACAATCTTTACAGGGAAAACGCAGATCAAAAACCTTATTGACAAAAATTAGTTCCTGACGGAGGTTAAGATCTGTTGTGAAGTCAATTTTGAAAAAATAAATTTATTGGTTATATCTAATAATGAAGATAATTCAACCCGAGCAGTTTTTTGCATTAGTAAAAGTCTTAGTCATAATACATCTTTTAATAAAAATTTAGAAATTAATTGAATATAATCCATAGCAATATTCATATTTATATGCATAATTATTTTAAAAATAAAGGGAAATCAGATATTTTAAAGGATTTTTTAAGGAGCTAAAATAGTAAATATGTGCTTTGTTGTGAAAAAATTCTCGGGTTTGTTCTTCATGAGATATACATGTAAGCGATAAATTTAATTTTTCGAAGGTGATTTCACCCGATATAAACATAGAATTATTATTTGTGTGACCTAACACAAATTATTTTTTAACTTTTGAATTCTTATATCTTTTAAAAGAAAAAGACTTTGGAGATATAAGACGAAAGTTTAAACAATTTATGGACAATTATTTTTCAAGAAGAAAAACGAATATATATTTTTAACGATTAGAATCGGACCAAGCGGCTTTAAGAGGCCAAAAGAGCCATTTTAATCATGCTATTCTGTCTGATTCCGGTAGAAAATGTGCTTAAACAATGTTATAAAGCGTCAACTTATTTTAATAATTACTCAAAAATTCCCTATTCTTCTCTTATAAAGATGATTTAAGCTTTAAATACGTAATCAAACCTTATCAGTAAAATCTTGGAATTTCAGCACATTCATTGTCATACAGGAGTCCAACTATGCATACAGGCGTACAATGAATATTCAAGAGAAAAAAAGGGAAAATTTGAAAATGATCTTAACCTTCAATGTCAGTGCTTTGAGCTTCACGCTTCCGGAGTGTAATCCTTATGAGTTAAAGGTTTCTATTTTAGTTAATCTAGAAGGAAAGTTATCGTTCTAAAATTTAGTTAACATTTTTCACCCTCCTCCGAAAACATTAAATCGAATTCATAAGAAGTACGTACATCAAGATTTTTGATAGATATGACAGTGGATAATCTGAGAGACTGGCATGTATTTTAAAATGCACATTGATATTTTTTTTTATATGGAAGTCATGCTTTCTTTTGCAGAGTTTTAAAATATTATACATTAAAATCACTTAATTTATCACTTCAATTAATGAAACAAAGAAATTGCTTTTATCTCCAATTCTTTGACAGGACACTATAATTGTAGAATTTCAATATTTGCCACCCAGAGAGACACCAGTTTAATCTGCAGCACGGACGATGGAAAACACGAAGCATAATGGATTCAAAGAAAAATAAAACCTTATTAGAAAAGGGGAATTATATTACAACCATTAACCTGGCTTAAAAAAAGGGAACTCATATGCTTTGCATATAATGTATTTAATGAAAAAAATGGATATAACAAACAGTATGCAAGCCCAAAATGCCATTAAACAATACAAAATAGGAGCAGAACAAAAACGGACTAATAAAACATAAAAAAAGAGATCAGGTGCTTTAAAGGAGTGAACATACACTCGCTTTGTGCTTCTTGTCATGATTTGGAAATAACTTGTAAAATTAGTAT